CTCTATACACTTGTTCCAAACCGTTCATGGTTTTATAGACCTCTATCCTGTCCCCCCCTAGTCGTCTCTTCTCTAAGCAGACCGGCACTGATCTTTGTAGTCTCTCCTCGTATGGAAGCTGTTCCATGCCCTTGATCATCATCAACTAGATTTATCCACTCATGGAAGCGCTTAGCAAAATGTGACCATTTTCACACACCGGCAGCATTTGCTGTTGATACGTTTGCTGCCCGCCTTCATCTGCTTTCATGTCGTTTTTTTTATTTTGCAGATTTCAGCCTAAAATTCATTAAAGATAAACGGATCCCAATTACCGTTACTGTCGTCATCACAGCGTTGATCATCACCATAATTGCACTGGCGGGTGAGTGAAGGGTCATTACTAACCCAGCTGATTCTCATTCCCTTGTCATTGGTTCTTCACTGATTGCTTATCCTAGCCCCAAGGTCGCGGTGCCCACTTGCGTTTCCCACGGCCTCTTCTCACCCCGTCTTTGCCCTGCTCTGACTCCTCCATTGAAGCACATTCCCCTTTTCAGAGGGGAAATCTCTCTCCAGACCCTTTCCCTCAAAGAGGAAGGGCCTAACCCCGTTCCCTGCCCCCTCGGAAGCAGCCCCACTAGATCCCAGGCCGGGGTAGCGGTGTAGGGATGCAGTGGGTGGGTCTCCCTGCCTCGCACTCCCTATGTCATCCAAGGCCAAGTCTAACCTTAAATTGTCGTAGGTTTGGGTGCCACCATGTGGCCATGTCTCACAGTGCGTCTCGAAAATTGTTTCCAATCCATTTATCATTGTTCCTCCTCCCCCATCCGCAGTACTGTGTGTAAATGCAACTGGGAGTCTCAGACAGAGGATTCAGTTCCCTGATCCCGGCCAGTCTCTCGTGGCTTTGGGAGCATTTCTGAATTTCCTGTCTCTGCCAAAGCTCCTCCGTAAAAATCACGTGACACAGAGAATCGGTCATGCTGTACGGATTCTTCCTGTTCCTGGTTGGGCATCGCTGGCGCAGCGGAAGGGGTGTGTTGGAGTGTGGGCGCCCTGCCCCCAGGAACCGAAGAGTTCCCGGGACTGTCCTTATAAAATCAGGACATCTGGTCACTCTACTGGGCCCAAAGGCCGGCCTGTCACACACATTCGCCAAGGCGTTCCACTCAGACGAAGCAGCCACTAAAACTGAGGGCAAAGGAGCCTAACAAGAAGGACGCGGGAAACAATTTCAGTTCGGGTCAATGGAAACTTTTACCAGCCATGTGATTTCCCAACACACAGACACATTAACTATGGGCAGAAATGCTGACATGTGTACTGTAGCAAAACAGCACGTGTGGATGTCTGGCACATGTTGAAGAGATGCTGGCTTTGCGCTTCCTGTATTCCGGGGCCATTCAGGGCCCTGACCTTCCCCGGTGTGACCTAGAGCAGCCTCAGGGTTGCTCTAACTTACCCTCTGCTTCTCAGGCCGCCTGGGAAGCACAGAACAGCTGTAATGCAGCGTGCTCTGGCCACAATCCCAACCCATCCCCTACACTCTGGGTGCAGAGCCCATACACCAGCTTCACACCAGCTGGGGAGGCCCCTGAATTGGGGGGATTCTCAGAGGGCTCTTTGCATCCACCTTGAGTCCCCAGAGTGGTGTGAAGTGGTCTAAGGATCCAGCCCAGAATCTCCCACTCTCCACGCAGCCCAACCCAACCCTTACAGCATATTCCTCCCTGTAACCATTTCCTTGTGAAGGTCTGTTTGCCCAGAGAGGCCAAGCAGCCAGCCCCTCACTCCAGCACTGACAGCTGTCACCCTCAGAACGATTTACCAAGGGGCGCGGTGGATTCTCCATCACTGACAGTTTTTAAATCATGATGGGATGATGATGTAAAAGCTCTGCTCCAGGGATTTTTTTGGGGCAGTTCTAAGACCCGTGTGATGCAGGAGGTCAGACAAGATGATCACAATGGTCCCTTCTGGTCTTGATCTCTGCAAAACGACAACCCAGGCCCGAGATGTGTGGGTCTTAGTGCCCTCTCTGGCCGTGATTCCCACGCAGAGAGAGACACCAGGGATAGGTCCATTTCTCACCACTGTGCTACTTGCTTATTTTCAGCCAAGAAGACGCCCCCCTGCCCACGCTGCCTGCCCCATGTCACTGCTGCGTGCCCGGACGGCTGGGTGGGATACCAAGGGAACTGCTACTACTTCTCAGAGACTGAAGGGAACTGGAACAACAGCCAGAGCCACTGCTCTTCCCTCAACGCCTCCCTGGCTTCCATTGACTCCGTGCCAGAGCTGGTAAGAAAGAGACACAAACCCTCATAACCACAGCTAGGGACATGCCAGAGCCTGGCGCCCCCCGAAGGCCTAAGGCAGCTCCTAGATTCAAGGAACTGAATCCCCTGTGGAGCTGGTTGCAAAATGGAAATTCAGGGACAGGATTTGACATTTTTTAATAGGAAAAAGTTGATTACCCCCAAAAGAGATTCTTTAAACTCCAAAATCTCATTTTTTGCAAAATTTTGGGTTCCTCCCCACCCCACCCCTTTTATTTTGCCTTTTTCCACATCATTTTATACTGGAAAAAGGGAGGAGAAAGTAAAAAGCATGGGAAAGAGGTGTGGGAACCCGCTATATATATAATTTTTTTTGCCAGCAGGAAACCAGTGCAAATGTTGCTCTGAAAAAGAAAGGAACATTTTCATCTCAACAGTATATGCCTCACTTTTATATATCTATATCTAGTTATATCTGTGTAATTTAACCAGCAATAAAGACAAGTGCAAAGTATTTCACCTAGGAAGGAAAAATCAAATGCATGGAGACAAAATAGGGAATAACTGGCTAGGTGGTCGCGCTGCTGAAAAGGGTCTGGGGGTTACAATGGACCAGAAATTAAATATGAGTCGACAATGTGATGCAGCTGAGAAAAAGGTGAATCTCATCCTGGGGTGTATGAACAGGAGTGTTGTACGTAAGACACGGGAGGTGATTGCCCTGCTCTGCTGGGCACTGGTGAGGTCTCAGCTGGACACTGTGCCCAGTTCTGGGTGCCTCGCTTTAGGAGACGTGGACAATTTGGAGAGAGTCCAGAGGAGAGCAACAAAAATGATCAAAGGTTGAGAGAACCTGAGCTACGAGCAAAGGTTTAAAAAACTGGGCATGTTTAGTCTTGAGAAAAGAAGACTGAGGGGGACGCGATAACAGTCTTCCAGTATTAGGGTGACCAGACGTCCTGATTTTATCGGGACTGTCCCGATATTTCCTTGTTTGTCCCTGGACAAACAAGGAAATGCCCCGGAGCCTGGAAGTGCTCGCGCCCCCCCCCCCGCCCCGACTCCGCCCCCTTCTCCCCCGATTGGCTCCCTCCCCGAATCCCCGCCTCTTCCCCGGGCTCACCATTCCCCCTCCCTCCGCAAGCGCTGGAGGGAGGCCCG